TCTCTCTCTCTCTCTCTCTCTCTCTCTCTCTCTCTCTATCCCTCTTTGCTATGTAATTTTTTTTCTTGATTTACAAAATGAACCACACACCCACAAAAACCTCCATTTTATGCAGTTGACGAATTTGCAACCAACAATATTACACGCGCATCGATGAATATAGATGTGAATTGATAGGTTTTCAGAGTTAGTGGAATAGCAACAGCTTGGACTCATGGATACGACTGTTGAGTATGGCTGGGTTTTTTTCGACTTCTGCCCCTGATCGTTATTGGTAGTCATCTCCTTTAATATTTTGTCAAGCCTGATGGAGAAATTGTTTTATTCGAAATGCTAACATATCATGAACCCAGAGAGAGAAGAAGAAACAATGAAGTTTCAATCTGAAATATAAGATGTCTATGCTAACACCTAATACATCTTTATGAATTTCATTTGTGATATACTATGTCTTTGAATAAATCTTGTCGGCCTGTTGTTCGGATATAGATGTACTTCAAAGTTTTGGTTTATTGAGGACTTTTTTTCATTCAGTTTCTTAATTAATCTTTGGTATCGGTTGCTTGTGTTCTTGAAATTCATGATTAAGGTACATAAAAAAACAACCCACAAAACTCTCTCATGGCAAGAAAAATGCTTTCTCGGCAAAGAACAGTTGATCAGCTTGCCTCGAAATACAACTTTTCTGTTGAGAGCTGGGCTGGACGTTTCATAATTTTCACTCTAGATTTCACCATGGGAAAACAAGAAAAGGATGCCTGCGCAGCAGTTTGAGGTACTATGGGCCCTTTATAATCCCCCCATTGCAGGGCTGGTTCATACCCGAAGGCTATAGGCCTCTAAAAGCCTGGGGTCAGATAGAACATTCTTGAGAGTGTCCCCCCCCCCCCTTCCTCTCCGGTTATAACACAGGGCATGTCCTCCGCAGGACAAGCCTAGGGCGGAAGTCAGGACACTTTCACAAACCTGTGAGTGTCTCGAAGTGTGTGTCTGTGTGTGTGCATCCGTCTCCGACTGGCCTCTGAGGGCGCAGCAGTGCAAGCGCAGGTAGGGCTTATGTGATACTATTATCATGCGTTAAGTGCTATATTATTATGACTTCTATTCTTTTACCAGGCAAATACAGCGCTCAGCATGAAGAACCAGTAAAACCTGTGAGAGTGCATGCGAAAATGGCATATTTTTCGTTCTTTCAGCGTTCTGAGGTTTCATCCAAATTTTATTATACTGGGTTTTTTGTTTGTTTAAAGTTCTTTTTTTTAGCTGTGCACAATTGCGAGTAAATTTGGGGCTTCCATAGCGATCAACTCTTCCATTCGTTTTCAAAAATGTTCTAAGAGTTCTCAGAATTAATTATTTATGGTAAAATAAATAGTTAACAGGGTGCCACTCTTTTTTAACAGTAACTTTTCAATCCCTCGTTTTGGATGGGCTTTTACCTGGGCGCCCAGACGTTTAAAAGGCTGTTAAACTTTACAAAGCGAAAAGCGACGAGAACTGCAGACTTTTTTGTAGGACCATGGTTGTATTCCATCTTTTGTAATGACTTGTGAGGAAAAGAGAGGGGCGCTCATAATAATTATGAATAGGGCAGGCCATGGCCTACGGTACAGTAAAGAATAGGTTTAACACCCGCTTTTTTAACAGAGTATGTTCGTTTTAGAGAGGGGACGTCCATCTCCGAAAGGACTAGTACGGCTTAGAAATTACTCCAAAAGTTATGTTCAGAGGAGATCCATGAGTGTGTCTGTACGAGAGTGCACATGCCAAACGTATGTGTTCGCAAGGGTAGCTTTTTATTGATGTGACTATGCTTATGCATGTTTGTATTTGTGATATCTCTCTCTCTCTCTCTCTCTCTCTCTCTCTCTCTCTCTCTCTCTCTCTCTCTCTCTCTCTCTCTCTCTCTCTCTCTCTCTCTCTCTCTCTCTCTCTCTCTCTGTGTGTGTGTGTATGTGTGTGTAGAGCCTGCTGTTGAGCGGGGATTTGCGCTATACAAATGCTATCTATTATTATTATTATTATTATGTGTGTGTAATGTGTGTGTTGTGTCATGTTACGTAGTGCATCCTTGTGCGTTTGCGCTTCTGAGCGCCGTTGTGTGTACGTGACCGGGCGTGAATGCGGGTGAATAAGTAAAAACTATAAGCAGGGCATCTTGGTGAAATCAGGCGATAGTCATCAGAATTACAGTATTGAAATCAAAGAAATCAGCACTTTTCTACCGGCTGGGAAATTTTTATCATTGTTTTCTTTAAAAATTTGGCTGAACATCTTTTATGCCAACGTGAAAATAAATGACATTGTGGGTTGGAAAGAAAAACGCAAACTTGTAGTTTTCACCGACATTACAGCTTTGAAAGTCACCAAACATTTGTGGCCATTTTCTCGCCAATTTTACCTCTGACATCAAGCAACCTTTTCGCCCTTAAATCATAAACATCTCGACTTCTATTCAAGATAGCTGTGTATTTTCTTCACCAGTAGCAAGACAGATGAACAAGCTTATTCCAATAACTCATTGGGCCAAAAATTGACGAGCGCCTGATTCCACTGTTTCGTGACACATATTATTTTAATTAATGATAAGTGTGCCTTACTCCTTTAGTAAAAAAAAGTTTATATATTATTATAGAGAGTGGGATAAAAAAAATAAACTTAACTACCTTGTCTGGTACTATCTTTATTTAGCTTTATTATGAGACTGCGGAACAGCCTGGCAGTGAAAAGGTTTAAAGTGTTTTTTTCTTGGGAATAATTACAACCTGTAGGCTAGACATGCATTCGTGTAAGTGCATATTATTATAATTGTGGCCAAACTAGTGTGTGTTTGTTTCTATGCATAATGATGGGCAGTTCCCGTGCATTGTTCAGCTCTATACGAGTCGTGCAGCCTTTAATAAATATATAGGCCTATTAATGTACTTAATTGTGCGTGTGCATGTGTGTGTGTGTGTGTGTGTGTGTGTGTGTGTGTGTGTGTGTGTGTGTGACTCGCAACCGTAAGGTCGTGGGTTCGAATCCCGTCAAGGGCCCGACGTTGTGTCCTTGGGAAAGGCACTTTACACGAATTTTCCTCACTTCACCCAAGTGGGAATGGGTACCCGGCTATAGACAGCGAAAGATCTTGTCAGTCTGTTAGTGTTTGAGCGCTTAATCGGCTGCTTGCACTGTATGCTTCCCGGGAAGCTGAGAATGTTTCGGACTGTTCTATGGTCTGCTGGGGTAATAATATAATATAGTGTAAAGCGCATAGAGCCTGCTGCTGAGCGGGGATATATGCGCTATACAAATGCTATCTATTATTATTGTTATTATTATTATGTGTGTACGGTTTTTATGTGTAAGTGTAAGTGCGTGTGTGTACGTGCGTGTGTTTGTGTGTGTGTGTGTGTGTGTGTGTGTGTGTGTGTGTGTGTGTGTGTGTGTGTGTGTGTGTGTGTGTGTGTAAAAATACATCTTATCTCATCTCATTTTCTGAGAAGGAATGATCTGGTAGAATAGCACAAAGATGCCTATCGCTTTTTACTTCAGTCTTTGATAATCATTGACCTGTCTGCGTTCGAAGAACCAGAATCAGGATAATTCTAAAAAGTAAATTACATTTGTTTACACTACAGAGTACGTAATTTCTATATTAATTTTTGTTTTGTTTTTGTTTTTGTAAACAATATAAATATTATCTCCCTCAGAGTTTACACTTCAACGGTGCCACTTAAAAACATTCTGCATTGCACTGTTCCTGATCGCCTTCCATACAGCGATGTTGTCGGCGGAAATTACAAATTTGAACCCTGTGCAGTCGGGGACACATTTGGACCAGTGTGAGTATGCTATAAATTATTGGTGTACGAGTGGATGAGAATAAAAATCAAGAGCTCCTTCTTTCCTATCAAACATCTATCGTCCTCATCTCGCCTCCTTACTCTCTTGAAACACGTCTATTCTTCTGCATTTGTTTTACCTTAATGTATTACAAGTGCCATAATACGCTTACTAAAACAATACAAGGAGCGTAGAACTGAAACGTTAGTAGGTCAGAACTAGCAACTCGTTTGCATTCTTAATCTAGTTTAGTAAGAGTTTTACGGCGCTCGCAACTGCATAAGGTAATAATATTTTGCTTTCTTGAACGTCATCCCATCAGATGGAGCACCCATTGGTTTCTGGTGAACATCGACATCCCGGCGGACTGGGAAGGCAAAGAAGTTCATTTGATATGGAATGCTTTATGTGAAACCCTGGTCTATGTGGATGGACACCCAGTGCAGGTACGTGGTCAGAAACAGGGGCCAAATTATTTGCACGCGCAACGAGAGCGAATCTACGTATTCACAATCTGTTGTCTTTTTACAAATCCTGTTTTAACAAAATAAAAAGTTTAAAAAATGCAATACTTTGGTCATATAACACGCCACCAGACTACCGTGAAGAAAATACTCGAAGGCAAGATATGAGGGCAAAAATGTCAAGGGTGGACAAAGAACAACCAGGATCGATGTCATCACGGCATAGACTGACCTAATTATGACAGCGTAAAACGACAGCTAGCGACCATTAGTACCGTGGGTCATTGCAGGCCAATGCCTGAGCCAGAGATGACACTTCTGGGTATCCAGGTATCTTTGGTGTATTTCAGTGCTTGTCAGCCTTTATATAGTCAGAGCCCACTTTTGTCACCTTTTTATAAGAGGCTAGCCTTTTCGTCCCAACCACCTAGATCTATATATGTGAGTATTTTCAAATGGGTCAATAATATAATACTTGTCATTACCCGGGCGACCCTCACTGTCCACCGGTATTGCCCAGTTCGAAAAGCACTGGTGTATTAAGAGAAAAGATCAATACATGTATATTCAAATTAGATTATTTTTATTCCTTGACTCAGTATGCATTTGCGCGCACAGCACACATGTCTTTCGTTAAATGAAAAAAAAAGAAGGGAGAGGGAATGTTTGATAGAAAGAAAGAGAGAGGGACAGAGAGAGAAAGAGAGAGAGAGAGAGAGAAAGAGAGAGAGAGAGAGAGAGAGAGAGAGAGAGAGAGAGAGAGAGAGAGAGAGGGGGGGGAGTGAGTGAGTGAGTGAGTTAGTGAGAGAGAGAGAGAGAGAGAGAGAAAGAGAGAGAGAGAGAGAGAGAGAGAGAGAGAGAGAGAGAGAGAGAGAGAGAGAGAGAGAGAGAGAGAGAGAGAGAGAAAGGGATGGGGGAGGAAGAAGTGTTATTTTTCAAGACAGCTGGCAACAAGCTACTTTCAGAAAATGGATGATGATAATCAGGATATTGTACTAAAATTTAATGCTTTCCCTTTATTAACACTTAAAACGTATCTATTTCTTTACAACCCCACAGGGCCTGAGTGGTGACTATGAGAGATACAGCTACCCTCTCAATACAAATGGCAGAAAGCCTGGCTCAAAGTACGTTTGCAATGTTAGTAACAGAAGCCACAAGTCATCAAAATCCTTATTATATTCACCACTGCAGACACAGGATATCGTCAAACATTGACAGATGAACTATAAGGCCACTGCTGCGATTTCTAAAAATGATACAATGTAAATAAATACGTAGCCATTTCAGAATAGTCTGTATAGTTTACAGAGAAGAACACAGAAACAATAACCACCAAGCAGCCATTCAACAGTTCAACATTCATGTTTTGTAACTAATCGACAACTTCCACGCTACAATGCTTTTTTGTATAATAATTATATACTTTTTATGTTTGTTCAACCTCTGACATGCAATATTATCAATGTTTTGTCACTAAAGCCAGGGTCTTAACGTGGGTTGTATCAGTCACGTGTGATTTTCTCGGACTTGAGTTCTGAACTAATTTCATGTTTTTTTGGCTAAACAAAGACACAAATATTTTTGGCTTTATGTCGTAGGACCATTACATGAATCATATTGAATGACAACGTTGTTTTTCATATGATGTTGCTATGTCCACAGAATAACCCTCTACTTAGAAATGGCTTGCAATGAACTGTTGGGAATTGGCAACATAGCGATGCAGAAAAAGGAAGATGAGGAAAAGAAGTACACCCTCATTCAGGCAGAAATCGGTCTCTTTGACAGAGAAGCCTACGATCTTGTTTATGACGTGGAGACTCTGCACGATATTGCCCAGGTTCTTCTTGTTCGTGTTCTTGTTCTTGTTCTTGTTCTTGATCTTGTACTTGTTGTTGTTGTTGTTGTTGCTGTTGTTGTTGTTGTTGTTGTTGTTGTTGTTGTTGTTGTTGTTGTTGTTGTTG